GCGGCTTGCCTCTGGAGCGGAAACTGCGAGCGGTGCTGCAACCGAGGTCTGCGACAAAACCGAGGTCGCACTGTGCATTTCGCACCGCATGCCCAAAATTGAAAACCCAATGTTAAAGATCATTCTGAATGATCTTTAACATTGGGTTTTCAATTTTGGGTGTAAGAGTTCAACGTCGCTCACATGCGTTGAACCTACCAGTTGCGTGCGTTGGGATGAATTAAGCCTTTCGCCCCCGTGCGGAAAAACCTTTCATGCATGACGCATCGTATGCCCACATTGGGATGATACCGTCTTCCGGCCAGGGGTTTGTGTTTACATTTGGTTTTCGCCGTTTGGGGTGCAACATCGCCTCCATGCATTAAGCATTGTAACATATCAGCATCGCTCCCATGTGTTAAACCTATCGCTCCCGTGCATTGAACCAACCCTGTATTTCGCATCGTATACCCACATTGGGATGATACCATCTTCCGATCAGAGAATGATGTTTACATTGGGTGTTCGCCATTGGGCTTGGGGGTTTAACATCGCTCCCATTATGGAGTAAACCATTAGCGGCGCGCAGCCGCCGCGATCGCGCGCGCGCACGCGCGCGCGCGTTGAGGAGGTCTGCATTGTCCACAATAGAAAAGCTGACATGAATTTGTGAAAAATTAAATTTAATTTTTCTCTTGCTCTACAAGGAGGCCGACGGGCGCGTCGGCTTTATATTGTGGGCAATACAGAGCTCCGATGCGCGCGCGCTGGCGCTTCGCCTTGTGCATCTCGTATCGCATACCCAGATTGTGATGATCTCGTCTTCCGACCAGACAATGAATTTTTACGTTGGTTTTTCACAATTTGTCTGGGCGTTTAACACCGCTCCCATGCATTAAACCATCAGTGGCGCGCAGCCGACGTGTGCGCGCGCGAGTGCACGCGCGCGCGTTGAGGAGTTCTGTATGGTCCACAATACGAAAGCCGACATGAAATTCCCAAAACTGAATTTCAAATTTCTGTGTCTCTTATAGGAGGCCGACGGACGCGTCGGCTTTTCTATTGTCGTGGGTGATGCAGAACGCCGATGCGCGCGCGTATGCGCGCGCACGCGCGCGCGATGGCGCTCCGCATTGCGCATTTCGTATCGCATGTCCACATTGGGATGGCCCCGTCTTCCGATCAGAGAATGCATGTTTACATTGGGCTTTTTTAGTGTTGGTTTTATGTGGTGGCTCAACATCGCCCCCATGCATTAAACGTGCCAACGGCGCGCAGCCGCCGCGCGCGCGTCGGCGCGCGTTGAGGAGTTCTGTACTGCCCACAATAGACAGGCGGACATGTAATTCACAAGAATGAACTCAAAGTTTCTGTGGCACTTTAAGGAGGCCGACGGGCGCGTCAACTTTTCTGTCATGTACATTAGAGAACGCCGATGCGCGCGCGTTGGCGCGCGTGCGCGCGCGCTGGCGCTTCGCATCGTGTAATTCGTATGGCATGCCCACATTGCACTGGGATGGTCGTCTTCCGATCAGAGAATGCATTTTCACATTGGGATTTCACCATTGGGTTTGGGGGGTTCAACATCGCTCCCATGCATTAAACCTACCAGCGGCGCGCAGCCGCCGCGTGCACGCGCGCGCGTAGGCTTGCGCGCGCGTTGAGGAGTTTTGCGTTGTCCACAATCAATAGGAAAGCCGACATGTAATTCCCAAGCCTGAATTCAAGATGTCTCTTGCCCTTCATGGAGGCAGACGGGCGCGTTGGCTCTTCTATTGTGGACGATGCAGAACGCAGATGCGCGCGCGTTGGCGCGCGCGCGCTGGTGGCTTCGCATTGTGCGTTTCGCATCGTTATAGCCACATTGCAATGATTCTACCTTCCGATCAGAGAATGAAGTTCCACATTGGGGTTTAACTTTTGGGTTTGGGAGTCCGACATCGCACCCCATGCATTACACCTATCAGCGGCGCGCTGCAGCCGCGTGCGCGCGCGCGCGTTGAAGAGTTTTGTAGTGCCCACAATAGAAAAGCCGACGTGGAATTCCCAAAACTGAATTTAAAATTTCTGTGGCTCTTCAAGGAGGCCGACGGGCGCGTGGACTGTTCTATTGCGGGCGATACAGAACTCCGACGCGCGCGCGTTGGCGCGCGTACGCGCGCGCTGGCGCTTCGCATTGTGTATCTCGTATCTTATAGCCACATTGTGGTGATCCCGTCTTCCGATCAGAGAATGAATTTTTACATTGGGTGTTCGCCATTCGGTTTGGGGTTCAACATCGCTCCTATGCGTTAAACCTATCAGCGGCGCGCGTGCGTTGATTTTGTAGTGTCCACAATAGAAAAGCCGACGTGGAATTTCCAAAACTGAATTTAAAATTTCTGTGGCTCTTTAAGGAGGCCGACGGACGCGTCGACTTTTCTATTGTGTACACTACAGAGCGCCGATGCGCGTGCGTTGGCGCGCGTGCGCGCGCGCTGGCGCTTTGCATTGTGTATTTCGTATGGCATGCCCGCATTGGGATGATCCCGTCTTCCGATCAGAGACTGAATTTTTACATTTGGGTTTCACCATTAGTTTTGGGGGTTCAGCATCGCTTGCATGCGTTCAACCGATCAGCGGCGCTCCTGGATGGCGGGCGCACAGGGGCGTGCGCCTTTGTGCATCTGGCAAGAAAAGCTCCGTTGCGCGCGCGGCGCGTCGAGCTTCCAAGCGCGCCCACCTTTCTGCGATGCCATGGCGCGCGTCAATCGGGCGAGCGCGTCTGCGGCTGCCATTCGGCCCCGAGTGCAATTGCGCGCAGACGCGCGCTATATTGCGGCGTCAGCGTTCTTCTGCGGGCGCGCGCGCTCGGACGTATCAGGGCGCCGCCAGCTTGCCGGCAGGGGCCGCGCGTTGTTGTGGGCTCGAATGGGGCGCGCGCGGAGCGCGCAGGCTGGGGCCGCGCCTTCTGGCACGGGCGCATTCGAGCGCGCGCGTGGACGGCGGCAGTTCGGCGCGCTCCTCGGCGCGCGCGGGGGCGCGCGCTCTTGAGCGATCTCGCGCGCGCTCTATGGCGCGCGCGCTCGGGCGAGCGGCGGTGCGTTTTTATCGCGCATTCAGCGGCGCGCAAGCTTGCGCGCGCGCCCAGGATGCATTTCGAGCGCGCTGGGGCGACTGCGCGCGCGACTAAGGCTAAGAAAAGATAGGCAGCGTGCTTTCGCGCGCAACCGCGCCTGCAGGCGCGGTTGCCTCTGCGCGCGCGGTGGGCGCTCGACGCGGGCGCCCCCGAGGTCGCGCGCTCGGATGGGCGCCCGCAGGGGGCAAGGTCGCTCGCGCGCGGCCCTGGGCGCTCAATGGCATTAACGCGCGAGCAGTTCGAATCGGCGCACTAGGGCGCTTCTTGGATTTGTCGAGGGTCGCGCGCCTGTAACAAACCGGCTGGCCCTATGCGCGTTCAGTCGCGCGCTTGAGCGCGCCGCAGGAGGCGCGCGCTTCTGGGCGCCTCTCGAACGCGCCGCCCCAGCGTAGCAGCTTGGGCGGCCAAGGTCTTGGTGGGCGGATGAAGCTTGAGAAGCGTTGGCTGGGCTATGCTGCGTGATCATTCGGGGGCGCGCGCAGTGCGTAAGCCACAATCGCGCCCAGGGGTTGACAGTTGCACAATTCGTTGCGTGCGCGGCGTGGTGGCGTTCATGCGCGTGTAACGTAGCGCGAAACGTTTAGCAACTGCTGGCGCATGTCTGCGCTGGTGGGCGGCGGGGTAATTCGCGCGACTGCCGCGATGGCGATATCATCTCTTCAGCGCTTGTTCGGTAACGTTTGCGTTTGTTGTTGAATGGCTTTTGTTTGGCGACGTGCTTTCGAACGCACGCGCTGCGACCTTAGGAGGTACTGCGCGCTCCTGTCTGACATCTAAAGGCATGACAAACGTCGGGCGGTGCATCAATCAGCATGTGTGTCTGTGCGTTCCTGGTGATGTCGTTGGTCTGGTCCTACCACACAGAATTCGAGATCGTGCTATCATGCTGTTCGCTCGGGTGTCTTTTGGCACATATCTATATAATCGAAACGAGCACTGGGTAGTCTGCGCGCGTTTCAGGGCAATGGATTGGAATTTCTTTGGGAGCGGCAAAAAAAAACATCGTTCTGGGCCTGTGCGTGGGTTGGGAGAAGGGGTGTGATGGGGCGCTGATCAGTTTGTGCGTGGGGGCACGTGCCTAGCAGAATTGTGAGTTTCATGTGCGCTGCGGGTGGTACAAAAGGCGTAGTATTGTTTAGGCGCTTTGGTAGTTTGTTGAATTTTCGTCCGCGTGTAAGTTTTTGTTTCAGGAATAAAATTCGGCATCCTGGGTAGTCGAGGCCATTGTCGGAATCCAAATGTTTGCTTGTTCAATCCGTTGCGCGCAGGCCCAGAGGAAATTGGACAACCTCCGCAAGTTAGTTGCAGTCCGAAACAAGAATATCGCGCCCGAGGCGCTCTGATGCAATCCGTGTGTAATTTTACCGAAAAGATGTTTTACGTGATTTTTCGAAACGTTTTAACACGCGTTTCGCACACATTGGCTTGAACGTTTTGGCTTCCGCTGTCTATTTCAAACCCTATGGTGTACCATGTATTAACGTTTGCAGCTGGCGGTGTCAAGTTATACGTTTCCCATAACTCTGTGCGTGATGTTGCTGGCGTTTCTATATCCGCCGCTGTTTCCAACCAGGCCGCTGGGGAAGCCCGTCGATGTTTAACCGTTAGCTCGAAAACAAGCAACATGCTAACGTAGTTTAAAGAAGTCTGGCTTTCAGATCACGTGTTTCTGTTTTGGCGCACTAGAACAAAACCCATTTCGAACTATTTCCGCGGGGCGCCCAGGTCTTGATTTGCCGGAGAGAATCCCGCAAACAATGTTTGCTAAAATCTGTGTCGGGTGATCCGGACACTGTAGCAGTGGTGATTTGTTTTGAATGCCAGTCCCTCAGAGGAAGACCATCTCTGCCGGACGCACTTCAACTTCGTCGTGTCGTTGTCGAAGAACTTCGCGCTGTCCAGCATGACGTACTCCGACACCTACCCTGGGAAGTTCCTTGGCCTCCTTGCTTTTGATGACATCGAGCAGAAGGCTGTTCTCTTGGACATACAGAGGGATTGGCGCCTGCTTCAGTCACTCGAAGCATCCGACGACGAGTGGGCAAAGCACTACCTGAGACAGTTGCGGTGGCCAATGGAACAGTGGACCAGAGAGATGTTCGTGATGCTGTATGAGGAGAGCTTTAAGAATGTGAGTAAAGAGGCGTTCGACAAACTCTTGGGTTTCGCGAATTCGTGGATGTCGACCCTTATCAACGAGGACCTCTTCAACCGTTACCGTGCCAGGGAGCGCGCGCACCAAGCGAGCGTATTTGGCAGGGTTTCTCGCTGGCACAAGGCAACCACCACTGAGTTGATCAAGGAGTACGACAGAAAAGGAGATTCTGATCACACCGACTTCCAAGAGCATGAAGCTTGTGAACGTGACGCCTGACTTTTGCAGAGCTGATATCTCGGAGTTCTCGCTGGACCCGCAGTTGCTGGACGTCTTCACGGACGCGGCGAAGGAGTTCCCACACTTGAGCGGCCAGGGGATGCTGAAGCGCGGGATGGCGTGGCAGAGTGCTCGCAAGCTCCAGGGGGACATCGCCGAGATGAAATTATCCTGGCTGTCCTTGTGCATCGAGCCTGGCATGTACGTGATGGGCCAGGATGCGTCTCCATCCGAATCTAGTGGGCCTGGGGCAAATATGTTGCACCGTCAGGATGTGTCGCATCCTGTGCTGATGTTTTTGGATGGGCGGCCATGGGGGTGCGTCGATGTAGGTGTTGAAACAGTTCGAGCCTAGATGAATCACAGGAGCCACGTAGGACCTAAACTAGATTTCAGAAGCGTGGTTCGGTCGACTGGCAATCTGGTTTGAAGCGTCTTGGGTGTCTTGGTGGCGCCAGCGGTGCCAATGCAAACCTGTTTCTTCCGATCTTGTGTGCTTCCTACGTTTCCACTTGGCGTCCAATCTAAACCTTCCACTGATTTCTGGATTGGTTTCGGCATGCGAACGTCGATAGGCGTCAGAGGAAGCGTGGGTAAATCTGGACTTGGCTCAACCTTTTTCTGATTCCTCAGGTGGGATCGTCATTTGCACCATGCCATTCGGTTTGATGGTTTCGAGGGCCACGCTCGTGCCAGTCAGGGGCACGACAGACATCCACATTGTTGAGCCCCAGAGCGCGAAGCACAACCCCTCCGACATGATCTTCATCATGCCGATCAACTCCATCGATGGGCTGAAGCGCATCAAGGTTTGCAAGGTGATGGCGCTCTCGCCGCTGGGGGCTGCCAGGTATTCTGCCATGATCCCAAGCAATGGCCTTGCGGCTCGACTGATCATCGACAATAACAAGACCGAGAACGCTCTGAAGATGGCCGCGCTGAGAGGCCTCAAGGAGCTCGACAGTTTCTGGCTTCCCAGGTTGATGTCGATATTGAAGATGAGGTTTACTTCTGCATCGAGGCCGACTAACGTCAAGGGCATGGTGACAGCCATCATCAGGGGGATCATCCCAGGCGCTTCCGACGAGGTGATCGACAACGCGCTGTATTGCAGAGGCCAGGTCCACGAGACCAAGGGTGCGACCTCAGTGCTGTCGGACCCCGAGAACTTGGAGAAGATCGAGACGGGCCTGGATACGGACGACATGTTGGTCGTGAAGAAGGCCGCGGAGCAGGTCAGGGCCAAGGTGAATTACAACAAGCAGCAGGCCAAGGAGAACAGCAAGGACAGGGTTGGCAAGGGTGGCGCTGGCCCTGGCCCGCCCGAGGCGTCTGCATCTAACGGAGGAGCGGCAGCGGCGGCCTCGTCGTCAGCTTCTGGAGGCGGCGCCGTGCCCATGGAGCTCGAGGCGGCGGCGCCAGCGGCTTCGACAGCTCCGAGGGCCTGGACAGTGCATGATGATCCCGCTCCCGATGCAGACGTCGAGCTGGCGTGGGCCAGGAGGTTCGCGCCGCCCTTCGCGACGCTCCAGAAGGACGCGAAGAGGTTCCAGCGCTGGGTGGGCGCCTACCCGAAGCAGCTGCCGCCCTTCTCGGTGAGCAAGAGCTGGGGCCCGAAGACCACCTACACGGTGAAGACGGCGCTGATGTTCGTGCTGCAGACGTTGTGGCTGTGGCACGAGGAGGAGACGGGCGAGAAGTGCCCGTGCGCGCTGTGGGGCGACAACGCGGGCCTGCCGCCGTGAACAACTTCAAGGCGGGGTGAGGCGCCAGGTTGCGCTGCAAGTCGGAGCTGGCCCTGGAGGGCCAGCTTCACCTCCACCTCCCTCCTCCATGCAGTCCATGACCTCCAGATTTGATAACATGGGGTTCCAACGATTTCAGGTTTAGTTTTTGATTCGTTGTAGGTGCTGACGCTTAAGTATCAGGGGTCCGAGGGCCCGAAAAAATCACACGTATGAACTCATTGCCTCGCGATGTTGGCTTCGAGTAGATAGTGGTTTAAGAAATCGTTCGTACGCAATGTTGGGAGTACGTTTGAACGGAACGGTAAACAGTGAACATAGGAGCCATCGACCTATCCTCCACGCCCTCGCAGCCCACGAGTTTCGCACAGCGACGGTGACAGTCGCTGTGCCAGCACGCTTTCTGTTTATTTAGGGGGCCGCGCCGTGCGGCTTCCTGGGACATCCCAGCCACCGCAGTCTGAACGGTGGTGGCTGGCTGCCAGCTCGCTGGAAAACAATGGGAAACAACTAAGGGGGGCAGGTAACCGTTCCAAGGCGCATGGGTTTGACCCCCCCTTCCATGTTGACTCATCCCTCCCTGGGTTTCGGTCTGGAACCTCACGGCTGCCTCACGGGATCTCGATTGAAACTCATTGTTGTTTGATGGGTCTTTGTTTGGCCTCCCTTGGTGGAAGCGCAAGTCTCTATGTGAAACTTCACGGCCTACTCGTGGGTTTCTTCATGCACTATCCCAGACGATGCTCACAGCTGCATTGCCACATGCCCTCTCACGAAGGTGCTGCTCCTGGGGATCAGCTGCATTCCCTTCCCCCCCCTTTCCAAACGAGGAGGAGGAGGGAGGGGGGAGAGGGAGGAGGAAGAGGAGAAGGAGGAGGTAAGGAGGAGGAGGGAGGAAGAAACAGGAGGAGGAAGAGAACAATTAACATACCAAAAGATGAGGATGAAGTGTCTCAGAACGTAGTAAGGACGATGCGGACATACATGCAGGCGGACAACAGAGCGATGATCGTGGGCACGGAGCAATAGTGAGATCAGGCAGTTCCTCTTCAGACGCATATCGGATAATAGCTAAGGTTTCGCCGCTCCGCCAGGATCAACTAAGCATAATAGTGGGGCTCAGCCTTCTGATTGTAACATCGTTGATGTGATGCTCGCAAATGTTGGACGGTGTGGTATAGCCCAGCAACATATCTGAAAATCCTTTTTTAAAAAATCCATATACCACCCATGTGCTATACCACCCCAATCCAATGCCCCAACCACCGCCGCCTGCATCGTTTGCCTTGGCGCGCGGTTTGGGCTGAGACGGTGCGAAGTTACGGCGCCCCGCATCAGGCGGGGGAAACGAACGAACGCACACACACACACACACACAAACACACAAACACACAAACACACAAACACACAAACACACAAACGCACAAACACACAAACACACAAACACACAAACACACACGCACACACACGCACACACACACACACACACACGCGCCCCCTCCTCCATGGAGGAGGGGGAGGAGATGGGGAGGAGGGCAAGGAGGGATATGGGGGGGGGGAACGAGGAGGGGCCGCCCGAGGGCTTCACTGACGAGCCGCTGCGCTTCCTCGACATTGCGCAGCATGCTGAGTTGCTAGAGAAGATGCTCGGCGAGAAGACATCGGCGGCGGCGGGCGCGCACGGCGCTGATGCACTGGGCGAGGGCGGAGGTGCAGGCGCGCATCAGGTCGCGGATGCACGGGGCGGCGGTGGAGGTGCTGGCAGCATCATCAAGGCGTGGCCTGCAAAGCGGCCGCGGCCGCCCTCGGCGCCGCCGCCGTCGGCGCTCGCGCCGCCGCCCCGCCCGCCGCGCCCGAGCCGTTCGACCGCCGCTGCAACCGGGGCCCTGGCGGCGGCGAGCAGGCGCGCGGCGGGCGGTCGGCGAGGCCCCTGCGGTTGGCGGACGAGTTCGCTGCCGAGGATAGGGCCGGGCGGGGCGCCGCGATCGCGGCCGTGGGCACGGGGGGGATCCAGAAGAGCAGCGGCTGGTTCGCCGAGCAGGGCGCGAGGGCCATGGAGGCCTACAAAGACGCCGACTCCGACCTGGTCGAGCGCATTTTGGCCGAGGCCCGCAAGCGCTTCGACTCGGGGGGCCAGGGCAAGGGCAAGAACAAGGAGAAGCCCAAGTCGAGCCGCTAACCGCTTTGAGAAAATGGGTGATGAGGATCTGCTCCGAGGTGATGAAGAGCTGCCCCGAAGTGATGGGGGCGGCATCGTGCTGCCCCAAGGCGCATCGGTATCGCAGCTGGCCAGGGCCGTGGGTGGCAGCGGCGCCAGTGCACACGCCACTTCAAAGTGTGATCGCACTTTGAGATGCGCAGTCGGCCCCACTTGTAAGCGCGATCGCACTTTGAAGCGCGGACTTTCGACTGATGTTCTGCATTCAGGCTCGCGCAGAGCATGGGAGGCGCGCGTGAATGAGCGCAGGCTCTAGAGCAGCACTACAGCGAACTGCCGCCTGCGCGCCTGCCCCGTCTTCGCGCGGCCTATAGGAGGCAACGCGCGGCCGCTCGGACGGCCTGACAGATGCTGCAGCTTCGCATGGAGCTGCTGACAGAATCCCCCATCCGCCTCGTCTGCCTTGTCTCCATCCGCCCTCGCCCCCTCCGCCACCTACTACATTGCCCTCCGCCGCGGTGGACATTGCCGTTGCATCGCCTGTTGCATCGCCTCCCGCTGCCTTCCGATTCACCAGATGTTCCTGAGTTTGCGCGTCGCGTTGCTGCCCATTGCGCCCCCCTGGCCGCCCGGGGGCTGCAGCCCACTGCATTCGCGCCCGACGGCGAGGGCTGCAGCCCATTGCATTAGCGCCCGATGGCACAGACTGCCGTCCACTGCATTCGCGCCCGATGGCAGGGGCTGCAGTCTACTCCATTCATGCCCGATGGCAAGGGTTGCAGTCTACTGCGGTCGCGCCCGCGGGGCGGGGCTGGGGGGGGGCCTGCGTGGACGCATCATAGCTGCCCCGCTCGAAGTGTCAGCGCGCGCGCCCGAGCTCCTCGCACCTGCTCGCGCGCATTCATCCGAGGCCCGATGGCGCCGAAGGCGAAGGCTGCAGCTGGCGCTGCGCTTGCTCGCATCAGCGAGGCCGACCTGAAAGCCAAGATCCGCGAGCGTAACCCTTGGAAGCAGGTGGCTCTTGGTCTTCGTCGCCTCATCGAGGTTGTGGCCAGGAAGTCAGAGCAGAACAAGTACGCGAGGGGTGCGTTCGTTGATGTCAGGCGCCCGCGGGTTGGCAGCCGCTCCGCCGGCGCGCGGGCGAGGGCGACGCAGTCCGGTCGGTTGCTGCGCGCGACTGGCCTGCCAGGCGTCTTGCCTGCGCAGTCCACGCGAGCATCGGCGTCGCCAGTTGCTCGAGGTTTCAGCGCGCGCGCGCTCGCGTTCTGGGGGGGGGGGGGGGGCGCGCAGGAAGAGGTGGGGGAACATG